TAAAACATATCTCAGACTGCATGCATTGCACAACAATAAAACATATCCCAGATTGCACATGACATGATGCTAGCTCATCGTATCTGAAACATATCGCAGACTGCACATAACATGAGGCTAGCTCCTCGCATGTGAATTGAAGTCACCAAATGTTTGCTATGTTGCACTCTAAATTGTACCCTTGGGTGGAGAATTTCAACGTTTTTGCCATTCGCCAAGTTGATGCTACGTTGGGTATGGATTGGAAGTTCTCTGATGTCTGTAAACTTGCTTACTTGCAACAACAACACGTACGACATGGACAGTTGCTGACGGTCAGAACTGCAAATTGTTGGGGTGGGGGGGGGGGGGGGGGGGGGGGGGGGGGCCAACATAATGACGTCAGTCTACATCGTCAGCCAACATAATGACGTTGGTGAGGCCAACATAATGAATGAGCTGTGCAAAGTCGCTAAGCAGAGCCGGTGAGTGCAAAAAAAGGTAGTTTTGTGATTTCGCAAAACGTGGAATTTGCAGTTGCATCTTTGAAAATGATAGTGGCGCTACAGCGCCGTGCGCATGTTCAATTAGACGGTCCTCACGAAACGCCACGGCCTTCTTGGGCGCCAAGACCGGCCACGACCCACGACGGCGGCGAACAACGGTGTTTTCCCACCCCAACCGGGAGGCGGACCGTGCGGCGTCCGACCACCCAAGAACGGTCCTTGCCGTTCAAACCGTTCAAACCGTTCAGGTAGGTGTTTCCTGCGTCGGCACTCGGACTGGCGAGAGCGGCGCGAAGGAACGAGCGCCGGCGCTGCGGCCCAGTTTTGGAGCTCAAAGTGCATGACCACAGGTGTATGGCATATGTGGCATGTGGCATGTCCAACTGAGTTGTTTTGACCATCAAGCATGAGGTGCAGCATCCTCTACAGTTGAATTTCATGATACTTTTCCCCAAGCATGGGGTCATCTACCTCTAAACCACCATTCGCCCTGTTGATAGAATTAGAGGGACACTCGCTGCCTTGATTTGAAGCGCCAAACTGGAGCAAGACGAAGCACACTGTTTGTCTGAAAAAGATACAGAACGAGCGGTCATGGACTTGGGATGCCATCCACGACCTAATAGCGCCTCCAGCCTACGATCGCGATGGCCACCAACCTAAGAGATGGCCTCCCACCTAACCAGAAGGAGAGTCATGGACTTGGGATGCCATCCACAATGAAGGGACCAATCTGGACCAGACCTGAACGGCTGATCATCCTGTCGAAGCAGAGCACGTATCTGGAAAAAGCATCCGTCCAGGTTGCTGTCAGGGGATGGTTCAAGTATGTTCAAGTTGTTCTCAACTCGACAATCACGGGGTCATGTGTTTTGGGACCTGAGACCAGTTGGTCCTCAATTGTCAATTGCTAGCAATAGCATTGTCGTGCCCATAATCTACAGGTTCCGCAAGGCCTCGGCATTTAAGATCCTCTTTGTCCTTCTCCAAGACCCAATGCCTTCCCCTTGCCCCCTCAAAGTCAACGCCAGATCATGTAGAGTTGTCATTGATTGCATGAGGCTCGTCGGGTTAGAAAGGACCTCCCTATTGGTCATGTAGGTAGCGGAGCGTGATCCACCTTCATTCTGTTCCAGCGACGATGCTTGGGCACTCTAGATGAATCAAGGAGGAGGCAGCCCTTCTGTTCCAAGTGAATAGAAACCGTCACCTATTTTTTTAGCACCAATCTTTTACAAACCACAGTGTTCCAAGGACAAGCCTCTTTTGCAGGACCTTTTTCTTGGCCTCTGAGCTCCCGAACACATCGGGAACGGAGGGCTTCGTGTGCTTCGTGTCCGCTCCAAATCGCATCCATCCGGTGTCCAACAACATGAACCTCATCAAAAGCAAGCCCCTCGTTTTCTTTTTTCGTGCAGCTGAAGCCCCGTTGCTGCTCGTTGCTGCTCCGTTGCTGCGGCCCTCCTTCCCCCCCGTCTCCGGAAGCGCGGTGCCGGTCCGATCAAGGTGAATTGCGAGGCCAACTCTTGCAGAGTCTGGGCGAGTGTGGGATGGGATGGGACCGGGAATAAAGACGTGGCCAAGCGAAAGAGGAAGCCAACAAAAAAGGGGGGGAAGACGGGAGAAGAGCTAAGTCACTTGGAAACAAAGAAGAGCAAAGGGTCGCTTCCAAACATCTGGGTTTTCAGTGTGCACAGGGCGCCAGTGGCTGAAAATCGACATCTTCATCATCTTTATGGATCAACAAGGTGCTGCCCTCTGTTATAAGAGATGGCACTGTTTGCCCATGTTTGACCCAAGCCCAAAGACTGTCACCCTCGGAAACCGCTTCGAAGCACTTGGAAATGGCTTTCGGAGCCTCGAAACCTTCGACGATGGTCTTACCTCCGACCCGAGGCAAGGAATGTCCGATGCTCTAGGGTGGTCAAAAGATGCGATCTGGACTTCTAGGGGATGTCTCTTGATTGATGTCTCTTGATGTCTCCGCGTTTAAACGAGCGGAGCGTCTCTTTGAGACGGAACTGAGACAGCTGGCCGTTCGCCCGCGAAGCCCAGTCCGTTCGTCCGGTCCCGGTCGCTGGCAACGTTCGCCGAGGTTAGGCTCTGTGGAGGTGACGGCAATCGGTCCGGCACATCTGTGTGCTTGTTACTGGTAGCTGCTTCTTAGTTCCTTGCAGTAGTAATGCCAGGAGCTAGGTTCGTAGCGATGCCCTTGTTACTAGCTTCTTGCCCTTGCGCCATGCATTACTCTGCAACTTCAGCTTGGAAAAAGAGCAAACTGCAATGTTGGTGGATTCCCTACCCTAAGGGTCCAGGACCATCCTGAGGATGTCCTTTGGCCCCAGTTCGACCATTCTCAGGAAGCACGTACTCACCTCCGTTCGACCATCCGATTCCGATGGTCCTGGACCCCTTAGGGCTAGTAACGGTTCCGAAGGAAACATCACAGCACCGGGACATGACATCGCCAACCTCGACGGTTCCTTCGTTGTTTGGAGGACCTTTTGGGTGGTCAGACCCGGGTCTTTTGGACCTCCAACGGCTGGCCCCAAAGAGCATCCGTAGATTTGGTCCCCATCGTCCCGAATTAGGAACCAGAAGCTACGCACGGTGGAGGCCATCGCTATTAGGTTGGAGGCTATTACTACTTGCAATAAGAAGCTACTAGTAGCAACTCGAACAGGGCAGCTTGGTCAATTCATGACCCAACCACCTGCCACCTGCTTCGTTTCTCGCCTGCTTCAAACGCCCATTCTCGCTCTCCAACTCTTGCTGTTTCTTCTGGCAGCGGTCCTTGGACATCTGCACCGTATAAACGACATTACAACTTCTGAGATAGAGAGGTATGCATGGGTCAGGCGGTCACGAAACTAGCATTCTGTTTTTCTCCACCTACAGCGCCGGACATCCAAAATGTTTTCAATCGGGCTCTGAAAAGGGTTGGTTCTGAACAGCATGCTTGGCAAATGGTCCAGTCTCGGCCTGATTGGCTGATTTCATTGTGCACTTTGTGGGACATGGAGAAAACACAATTACATGTATTTATTTAGCCACATCCAAAAATGATCAGGCAAAACTAAAAGCCCTAATCTAGGCTGTTGTTGAATAAAGCCTCGCCCATTTGGTTTCTCGCACTGTGGGTTTCTGGCGATACCTAGGTTGACCCACCTACGTGACGGGTTTTTCGCTACATGGTGATATGGTGCACCAGGGCTCTACACATTCCTAGCCACAAAGGTTGACTTACATTCATCTTGTGGATTCACACACTGGATCCAACACCATCGCTAGTAGGTTGGAGGGCATCGCTATGAGGAACAATGAAAAAAGAAAAGGACGAACGGTCCAATAGTAGCTTCCTGTTCCTAGTGGCAAGGCCAGGAGCCGACTCGTAGAGATGCCCGTCGCTCCGGACTCGTAGCGATGCCCGTGTAGTTGGTGTAGTCTAGTTGGAGACCTCGTTCCCAACTGGACGAGCTGCAATCTCTTCATGCAGCTGCTGCGTCTTTTCGCGATGCCGATGCCTCACCAAAAAAGGTCCCGTCGAGGGCGGACGCCGTTGGACCGGCACTGAAGTCCCGTTGGTTGGTGCCTGACCCACTCACCCCGCTGGTGTTTTTTTTTCCAGAGCAAGGTGTGCGAGATATGTCATGTGTTTTTGTGGTGTATGACCCTGTGGACCTAAGGTTCGTTTGCCACGGATCCGCATTCATGGCGCTTGGTTGCCAAGTCCGTTCGCTGAACGGCGACGGTGCCAGAAAGGGCAAGCTTCGCGACTCGAACGGGGCGACCCGCGGCATCGCGACTCGAGTCCGGAGCGATCGGACGCTACGTTCGGGGCTCCTGGCCGTACTACGAACGGAACAAGAAGCTACTAGGAACAAAGGGCATCGCTACGAACGGAGCAAAGGTGGACCACTCGGAGGGGGGGAGGTCGCTGTGGTACAAATGGGTCGAACACGTCATTCGCCACGGCTGCAGTGGCCCTTTCCACCACCTGCATGTGAAAGCATGACAAAAAGCCACGATGAAGTCCCACAGACTGCACAGGACAAAGACTGTCAACTGTGTTCTTCAGCATTCTTGTGGACTTTGGCATTTTTGAAAAGCGACTCACCGGATCGTTTTTTTTCGGAAGCCACTCTTGACGAAGTGCCGCCACTCTTGACTCTGCTGGAGCAAGCACAGGACGATGTGGTCACACAACACCACCAGTCCTGGTCACACATCGTACATCGTCGGAGACCTTTGACTTGTCAAATCAGCCACGTTCCTCTTGTCCGGTCTTTCCTCCTTTCTGAGTTGGGGGTCAAAACCTCTGTTTCAACCTCTGTTTGGCTTCGGCATTTGCGCTTCAAGGCCCAGACAATCAAACAATAGACCTACTGTAAGCTTCTCAACCCAACCACCAAGAGCACCAAACCCAATGGCTATAAGCATTCAAGCATTCACCTGCAATTCTACATCATTGGCAATTCATCTCTGACCCCCCAAAAAATCCTCGTCTGAGGCTCCCAACTGCATTTGTGCCACCACCTCGCAGAGACCCAGAGGCCCAGAGACCGCATCCGATGGATGCTCCCGCGGATGCGGAAGTGAACACCCAGGACGTGTCGACGGTCTTCGATTCCGAAGCTACTAGTAGCTCCTGGCCATACTCCTAGTAACAAGGGCATCGCTACTAGTAACAAATAGCTACAAATAGCTAGGTCCTAGGTCTTTGAAGCTTTCTAGTAACATCTAGTAACTAGAAGAAACCGCACGGTGGAGGCCATCGCTACCAAACGGTGATTCGCACCGGCCCTTTGGTGCGGCCGCCGTTCGTAGCGATGCCCGACTGCTCCGTTCGGTTGGCAAATAGAGGGAAGTCTGAAGGCTCCAGATCTGTGATAGGAAAGAGACATGTTCTGCCTTCGTGCGACATCGTCGTCTTCGCATGAAGCCAACTTGAAGCACGATCTCACCAGCTCTGGTGAGATAGAGGTGACTCTATGTAATGCTTTGTGTCCTGACATTTGAGGAACGACACTTTATGAAACCAACGGTGAAAACCCCGAAAAAAGGCCTGAAAAAAAACCATGAGTTCCCCTCCAAACCACAAAGAAACCTGGATCCAATCGATCCAAACGAGGGAGAAGACTGGAAAATGCCGTGCCAACACTTGGCACCTCAGTGGGGTCTTTTGATCTGTCTCTTGGCTTTGCTCATTCGTGCACGAAGCCTTTTCTCAGCTTGCGCAAGGCTAGGCGAGCTTTTCTCGGCGGGCTCACCCTGGAGTCGTGGCTGGCTCCAAACTCTCGAACATGCAGATCAACGACTTGGCCTGGCTCTATTTTCCAGGAACTCCCAGGAGGAATCCTGCACCCGACTCACACCTCCGCACAACGACCCTCTCCCACTCACACCTGCTTGCCCTTGATAAGCATCTCCTCCGACTTCTCATGTACCTGGACGGCTGACCGGGACGGCTGACCACGACGGCGTAGTCACCACTCGTGGGCCACCTTACGGAGCGATCGGAGGCTACGAACGTCACTCCTGGCACCTTACGGCTGACAAGAAGCTACGTTCGGGGCTCCTGGCCTTACCAACGAACGGAGTACTACTAACAAGAAGCTACGTCGGCATCGTCTGACCTAGTGGTCGTTTTGGGGTCGCCGGCCATGCCTGAGGTATCATGGATCACCCACATAGCCGAATTGGTTGGTCATAGACTAGACCCTCACAAAGAGGGCATGAGAGCCACCAACCACTGAACCCCAACAGTTGGATTTCCAAAAGGACTTGGAACAAAGACATTTAGTACACTTATAATCATACTGATCACTGTATTTCTTCTAGATTTTGTAGAAGCGGATGCCCCGCAGAAGCACGAACTTGGTGTTGCTCACCTCAGACCTGCTTCCCCAGATCTGCTGACCCTACCTACTATGAGAAGTTGCTAAACATGAACAAAGCACCCCTGACCCATGTTGTGTCTGACCTCTTGTGTTGTGATTGGAATGATTGTCCAAACTGTGTTAGGCAAGAAACGTGACGAACGCGCGAGTGGCAACATCAATCCCTTGCGATTGCTTGCCCAAACAGTCTCTCCTAGGTTGGAGGCCATCGCTTCTATGTCTAGGTTTATTAATCTATATACCAGGACCCCCTAAGGGGTGTCTAATGATAGCCCCTTAGAGGTTAAGGGGTGTCCATTCATCACCCCTTGTGGGTCCGTTCTTTTGTTCTCTATTGGGTTGGAGGCCGTCGCTCGAACTCCTCTTCCCCAACTCTAAGGCCTTGAACTCCACTTCGGACAGTACGAGCTCTCTGATCGCCTCCCGAGTTCGAGAGGTGCGGTGCTCTTTTCAGGTCGAACCGGCTCGAGGTCGAGTACGGGCACTACTGGCCACAAGTGGTGGCCGGGGGAGGTCTCTTCGCAGGTCTTTTTACGTCCAAATCTCAGCTCAATTGGACGAATTCTGGTATGTCCAACCAAAGAACAGCCAGGCATGTCCTTGCTCCCCTTAGTAAGGGCACCCAGTTGGCAGTCAAGGCCGTCCTCACTGTCAAGGCCGTCCTCACTCTTGGGTCTGTAGAGTAGTTGCAGGGTACCTCAAGAATTGAACAACATACTGTACTGAGAGATATGGCTTTGGGTGTGCTTTTGACCAGCAGAGAGTACTGACACAGAACCTTAGCGAGACATGGTCTACCATGTCTGTCTCCACATCAGTGACAAGTAGAACGATAGACCTTCATTCATGTGTGGAAGCGGTCGGCGGCTTCAGGGCTTCAGTGATGCAATCCGCTTCCTGCCCTGTTCACTTCCACCTAGAAGCAATGGCCTCCACCCTACTAGCGATGGCCTCCAACCTACTAGCATTCCCTTCCCACTTCGCAAGGTCCTTTGAAGATCTTCCCCTCCCTGCTTCCCATCCAACCGACCGGGAACCCATTAAAAACGGCCACCTTCGTCTCCTTTTCTGCGTGAGGCAGACTGTATAGACTTGCAGAACACCATTCGTCAGCTCCACGACATGTCTCGGTCTGGTGGGTCCACGGTATCCACGACAGGCGAGCGACGACAGGCCGGTATGGAGGCCAGGACAACCCGCGTGGAGATCGGGTGATGGTGAACACATGGAGTCTGAACAAAACATCCGGTTCAACCTAATGAGAAAAAGAACAAAGAAATATAACATTAATAAATAGATAGAGTATATAGAATAGAAATATATTAGAAATAACAAAGAAATATATAGAATATATCATACACCTAGAAGCAATGGCCCCACCCTACTAGCGATGGCCTCCAACCTGCTAGAGCGATGGTCTCCAACTAACGATGGAGGCTCATGACTTGTGTATCCTATAGGATGTTCAGATTTCCATAGGGCTTTGGTTGATCAACCTACATGTGTCTTGGATCATTGACCCACACCTTTACAGCATGCCGTGAAGTGAACTCCCACGGCTGTGCGCAGGGAAAGACAGGCCACACCGCAGGTCGACGCCCAAGTGACGCACATGACCTCGCCACCCAAGTGAGCATTGGATATCCATCTAGCAATGGTTGATCTTTGATCAATTTCGATGAAGAAGTGACGACTGACACAGATAATATCTTTGTTTATTTGTTTATTTGTTTTTGTTTTGTCTTTTGCTTTTACTTTTTGTATTTTTCTTGTTTCTTACATATCTTTTTCTCCTTTGTTTGTTCTGAAAAAAGCTGGTTGACATGGTGACCACTGAGGTTTCTCGTCCTTCGCTTTCCTCTCGTGGCGACGCAGAACCTGCCGCAAAACATGGTCGGCGCATCGCCATCGACTCAGGAAGGACTTTCAAGGGGCATGCGCCGGACTCTTTCAAGTGATCCGGAATTCTGAGGCCGGACGTCTGCGGCCCCAACGGAATCTGCTTCCGACTCCAGAGATCTATGATCTAAGCATCTCCTGAGGTAAACCCTCGCTGGGCACCTACTGGATGATGTTTTGTCTGTTACCTAGACCAGTTTCTTTTGCTCAGCTTTAAAGAGATTCGACTTAGGGGCAACGAGTCCAGTTGATGGTATTGCAGTGTATTTAACTTTTGAGGGCATTGATCCATTCTCCGGGGTTTGGGTTGATCTCCAGGTGCAGAACGAAAAGAACTCTGGCTGGAAGCGTCAAAGTACTCTGGTTAGAAGCATCGGTTCACTGACATTCGCTCAACCGCTGCGAACGCATTCATCTGTACAAGGCGCACACAACACGGGGAAAGTCAGTTTGGACAGCAGGGTCTGCCATAGTCATTCAGTAGATCATGACTGCTTGCCGGGAGGGCAAGAAGGATGGTCATTGTCAATCCCATCTTAAGGGCTTGGCAAGCCACATGATATAATACCAAGCAAAAGCCTCATAAAGCCTCAGCTGGTAAAGCTGGATTCGGGATCCACGTCCGTATGTGATGAAGCGATGAACACAACCGTTCTTCTACGGAGTGAAGACATGATCTGATTGATCTTCAAAAAGACCTACTAACTTGCACGACTTGCTCACATCGATTACTTTTCATGAGTGACCCCCAGTAGCTTCCCCAATGTCCATTTCCCCCCTCTCAACCATAGAACCCCCTGTCAATCGATGCCCCTTGGCTCTCTTCACCCTCAGCTCCGCCGCAGCTGCACGTAGCCCAACGCTCCCAGCGCCATCGTTGCACCGAGGGCAGCCAGCAGCGCCAGCGGACGACGGGAAGCGACGGTGTCCCTGACGGCTGGTGGAGTGACGGCTGAGGAGACGACTGATTTTCAGATGAAAGGTCTTCTTCTTGCTCCGTTCGTAGTAATGGCCTTTGCTCCGTTCGCAGTAAGGCCAGGAGCCCCGTTCGTAGCGTCCTTGAAGACTTCAAGTTCGAACAACATGAGCATTTCGTAGCGTTCTCTAGATCGGTGAGTTGCCGGAATGCCTGGTTCCAAGTTGCTTGTCAGCTCATAAGCAAGCAACTTGTAAGTAACTTCATAGTTATGATCGGAGGTTTTGGGCTTTTTCCGGCCTCAAAAAGAGCTCCTGGCAGCCGTCGCGTTCCATGAAGTCTTCGATGGCCTCCACACACGCCTGCAAGTCACACGAGGCCGTCTCTTCGATCAAAGGGCGCGGGAGGCGCGAGTCTGGCCATCGCCCGTCGGTGATCTCGCTCCAGGACCGTGCCGGTCTCAAAGTGTATACTACTTGCGATGGCCTCCACCCCAATAGCTTCTTGATACTAGTAGAAGACACTAGTCGTGGAATTAGTTGGATGATTTCACGGCACACATCTGGTTGTGGGAGAGGCATCTTCCTGAAAACTGGCATTGAGCACTGAAAATGGGAGGCCATCATCCTCTACAGTCCTGACCGGGGTATCCACCGACAAATGGTGAGAGTTCCCCTGGATTCTCCTGTAAACCTACACCACAGATCAACCTGTCACTTTTCAGTGCAAGGCCACCCCCCTCGTTCACTGTAATTCACCGTCAACAGTCAACGTTTTCACGTCGTTGAACCATTGAAGTGGTCTCCGGACGGAACAAACCATTGATCTGAACAGGCAAGCCACATCGCCCCCCTCTCAGGAACACTTCAAATCTACCAGCTGCTTCTGTTCGGGGTTACCAACGGACAACCCTACACTACTTATAGGTCACCATTGGACACCCATTGGAAGCGCTAGGTAGGAACCAAATCATTCGTGCGAGTGCTTCTGTAAGGAAGCTTCCCCCGCCGCTCGCCAGGCGCCGGGAAGTTTCCGAAAGAAGAAGCGTCTTCGCTCTCCTACGTAGCTACCTCTAGCGGCCTACCTACCCACCCACCTCAAAAAAAAACAAAGGCGCTCCCCACCTGGGCCCCTTTGGTCTTCAGCAACGACCCTTGGACTTCACGCGCTCGCTGCGCGTACTTGCCGTCCGTCAGGACCTGACTGTGCCGGGCCGAGAAGGGAAGCCATGCGGCAAGTGCCTGGGTTAAAGGCCATGGGACGATTGGGTAGTCGTTGTTCCTTTTTCAAAGGGATTCAAAGGGACGTTTCAATAGCAAGAGGTTCCGACATGAAGACTGAAAAGCCAAATGATCACCTTCCAGGTGAAGAATCATCATCTTCTCTATCAAGAGAATCATTGAAAGTGTCTCTGTGCTTTGACCACCTCATGCAACTCATGTCTATCCCCTTACAGGGTTTCAAAGAGCGTTGGGCCACTGCTACGGTGGGCTGTCCAATCCCCACAAGGCTTACAGGGAATGGACTGGAAAAAGGTTTTCTTTGGATAGGAAGATGCTTCGAAGGAATCTCCGGAATTAGTAGCTTGGAGGCCATCGCTAGTAGGTTCCAAGTTCTTCATTGAACTACCTGGAATTGGTCGATTTGAGCCCCTCGCAGTCCATCAGTTCCTTCGTCGCTCCTCACCGCCATCCTCCCATGACACCCACCTTTTGAAGCGCCGCTTGAACGCCATGCGCCGTGAGCGTCCTGACGTGGACAACACGTGGAAGGAAACAGGATCTCTTGAACGAGTGACCAGAAACAAAGGATTCGTAGTGATTGTTTGAAGGATTTCCATGTAATGAGACTCAATGAGACTATGGATTTCCATTTGGACCGTCCCAAACATGAAAAGGTGATGTTCACCGTCCCATTGTTACTGGGAGCTTGAATGCAAGCGGACTGACCTTCGTTTGCTAGCGACCGGACTGACCGCCCGAATTGGGCACTCCCCACATCCTGGTCCGGCGTGGGCATCGTGACGTTCGGGTTCTTCCCCCTGTGATTTGTTGGGTCTTACGGTGGTGTATTCGATCAGGTCCAGTGTACTTCACTGCCACTTTTGGGGAACTTACCCCTCACCCACCCCGAAGTGGTGAGTCATTGGATTTGTTGCGACATGTCAGAAGTGATGTGGCGCTGCACAAGCAATGGGCAGGCCTTCTCTGCAACCACCGGACGATGCTGGAGGCCTTCTTAGCAACGAAACAGCAAACGGATTTGTCCACTCTTAAAAGGTTGAATGATCCAAACCATCACATCATTGATCGACTCCCTTCAGAATCTGGGCAACACTCCTCAAAATACTATTCCACCACCCCGTTTCTCTACACAATCAAAATTACACTGAATTACACCCTCAGGCGGGGGGAGCTTCCTTGACATTGAAGAAGCGTGAGCTATCCTACGTCCTACCTAGGAGCGTCCTGTACCTAGTAGCTTACTAGTAGTCCATTAATTACTTAATTTAGGAGCAGTCTAAAACCAAAAGGAACAGGGACCCCGCCCAGCCGCCCTTCTCCTGGGCTTGAGCACCTCCGCGAAGCCCCGCTTCTGCGCCAGC